AATTACCAAGAAATATCGCGGTCGATTTTCCAGGAATATTGTCACCGCAGAACAAGTGACAGCATTTCAAGATCAGGGTGTTATCTGCATTCGAGGTGTTTTCGGAGAATGGATCGAAAAGTTGACGAAAGGTATCGAGAGAAACTTAGCGAATCCTGGGAAACTAAGCGAGTGGCTCAAAAGTGAAAACTCAGAGACATACTATTTTAATGATTTATTGAACTGGAAAAAGATTCCAGAGTTTAAGGAGTTTGTATTTGAATCACCAGCCTCGGAAATAGCGGGAAAGTTAATGGATGCTCAGGTGAGGGACGCAAACTCATAGTGCTTTGCGTGGCTTGCATCCGTATTGAATTTAATTCTCCCCTCTATCCAGCTTGGGAGCAACTACAGAATACAGGGCCATTGAGGTCCACCTTGAGATTTCCGAACAGTCCATACTACTGTAAAACAAAACCGTATTTCCAAAGGCAATCGACTCCTTACCTTTAAACCCCTGCATTAACACATGTGGATTAAACTTAAATATCATGAATACCCCACCCGACCCAGGCATTGTTCAAGTTCCTCACCCCAGGCAAAGAGAACAGTGAAATACCTGTGGCTTCCCGGGGGGAGGTGGGGTGAATGCTGAAGTTTTTGATTAACAGCTGCATTACTCAGAATGTGTAGGTGATAGAGGGCAGTGGGTGAGCTTTGAAGGTTAACAGAATTTTGGCATGGGTGTTGAGAGTGCGTCTGCACGGAGTTGGAGATTTCAGGGGAAACTGCTAAGAGTTGGGTAGAACTTCTGAAATTTTGCAAGGTAAACTTGTCTTCAGGAGAATTACTAATGAGATTGTGGGAATGATATAGGGTTAATGGTAGCAAACTAGAAAAAGTTGGAGCAAACTTATATTATTTCAAGAGGTTAACTTGTCTTAGTGAGGGCAAACTAGTAGGGGGTGAAACTGCAATGGTGTGGAGTTGTTTTTACCAAATTTTGATGTTATCTGTGTTCTGTTACCGAACAGATGCACAGCAACATGGAATCTATTTGTTAAATGGAAATGTTTTACCTATGACACAGACAAGCCTATTTCTCTTTTGCTTTTGTTACTTGATTATGAAAATAATAATAATAATAGTAGTTTATTCACAATTAATCACACACAGAAAGCACACAAAAACTAACAAACAATACATTAACAACAAAAAATACATGAAAAATTGTGAAAGGAGATAGAAGAGGTTATCCCTTTCTAGTCCACCTCCTTAACATATATAACAATATTAAAAAATCCTAATTACTTACCTATAAATTCAAAAGCTATATATATACAATTGGGTATACTTAATATATAATAAAAGTTTAAAATGGTAATTAGTAGAAATCGTGTTTTAAGAAAATTCATTAACTAGCTTATTTCTAAAAGTTCTTAAGTCTATTGCTTCATGCGGCAAAGTTATAGACTTTTAATCTCAAATGGGTGATCTGTTTTCACTTTTGATAATACACTGATCTTACAGTTTGCTGTATTTTATCACGAGCACGTTTTCACCAAAGATCCTGGAACAACTCGCACCACTCCTTGGCATCATGACCAGTCTTATTTCCCCGTGGATGGATGGAAGGTAAAATCAAAGGAACTGCTAGCTTTGAAGTTAATGAGCAGATTATCAGAATGCCAGGTTGAAAGGCTGTTCACTTTGGGAAGCAAAGGAATTGGGGGGAAAGCGTGCATGGTGAAATGTGGGAAAGGGGGATTTTTATATCAGTATCAAGTGTAGTGTTCAAGTCTTCTACAGGATCACCAAGGTCTTAATTCTCTCTCTTTATGGAAGGGGGATAAACTGAAAAAAAATCTGGTGCTTTGGCCTATCTTTGGAACACATCTTGAAATTGTAGAAGTTCTTGTTGTGCTGAAACAAAGTAACTGGATGATGATTTTAGGAGTAAAAACAGATGATCACATAGATCTTCTTGCTTACACAATTATCAGATGCAATGAAATATATGAAGTTCATATATTTATGATATAATGGGAAAAATCCCTATGGAGTTTTCATGCAAAAATTAATTGTAATAGT